CCCCCCCCCCGCCCAGAGCTTGGGATAGCACATTAATAAAGTGAACAAGTGGATTTTCATGAGGAAACAAAGAAATCGGACATTTCCTTCCAGATTGTAGATAAATGTATCCCTTCCAGTTAGCTACTGAAATGCTGAAAAGGGCACACAGACCCTCAAGGCGGCATGAGTGAACTCCAAGGGACCTGGAGCCCTAAGTCAGGATTTACTTTTGAATCAAAAGTAAAGTAGGGCTTCCCTGGTGGCGCAGTGGTTGAGAGTCCGCCGGCCTATGCAGGGGACACAGGTTTGTGCCCCGGTCCGGGAAGATCCCACATGCCATGGAGCGGCTGGGCCCGTGAGCCATGGCCGCTGAGCCTGCACATCTGGAGCCTGTGCTCCGCAACGGGAGAGGCCACAACAGTGAGAGGCCCGCGTACCACCAAAAAAAAAAAAAAGTAAAGGAAACTGCTTTTCAGGATAATTCTTAGAATGTGACCATGACTGTCTCTACCCGTAGAACCTTGTTGAAACTTACATGCTCAAATAAAGCCCACAGGCTTCTTTCCCAGCATCTTATCACGATAGACATGTGTTTGGGGAGAGGCTATTTATAAGTGGATTTAAAAAGTTGCTATCTTCATTATAAGTAATGACATCAAATTTTGTGTGGATGTAAGATGCATAAAGTTTAAAGGGATAGAAAATAATACATGATATTATTGCCACTGAACCTATGTAGCCCAAGAGGTCTTCCCAGATTTGTTTCTGGATGTGCAAACTCACAACCATTTTTAACCATTTTTAAGCTGCGTTGGGGTTTTATGAAAGCGTTTGGCTCAGCAGTACTCATTTATTTTTAACAGCCTACATTAAGGTTAGCAGACTGGATTGTAGAGAGAAGCAAGCAGGTAAAGGAGCAAAGTAGGCTTGTGCAATAGACTAGGTTGTACTGCAGAGTACTGCAGACCAAGGGTGGGGTGCTTCCAATTTTTCATAAGGAGAATATGAATTGTGTATACCCAAAAGGACCTAGCTTTAGCCTGCTGTTGCAAGCCCTGGTCTAAATAATCTGTATAGTCCAAAGCACAGATGGTGATCAATTTATTTTAATTATTTTTGTTCACAGTCCAACATTATTTCATATCCGTGTAATATTAATCTCTAAGGACAGGTAAAAAGCTATAAGACATAGGCTCTGGTCTGTAAAAGTAACACTGTAGCTATGGATATAAACTAATACACGTTAGGTTGGATTTTTCCATAGTGTCTATACTTAGTATTAGTTTTTAAAATAATCATATAAATATAGTAGATGCTTTCAAAAAATTCAGATACACAAGTATATCATATAAAAACTTACTGCCATTATTATTCTTACTCCCAATACTCCCCTACAAGAAATAACCGCTAAAAAATAATTTGTTGTGTGTTATTTCAAACTTCTAAAAGAGATTATAGATGTAATATGTATTATATGAAATAAATATTAAAGAATATAAAATAAAGGTCATCCTATATATATTGTTCCACAGCTTGCTTGTTAAAATCAGTTATATATCCTAGCTGCTTGTACTGTTGAAGTTTTAAAATAAAACATTTTAAGCTAGCAGCAGATATGATGAATTTTTTTAAAACTTAAAAAACTCGTGGGTGGCTACATTGAACCAAATCATGATTATTATAGTGAGCTATTATTAGCATGATAGTGTGGATATTGCAAACAGTAGGCACTTTTAACATTTTGACTCAAGAATATTCCATTCAAAAGAAGTGAGGGGTTGTTTTTCGTTTCTTTTTAATAGTCTTAGAATAATTCTAAAAGTAGTGTGGAGAGTGGAAAGAGATAAATCACTGCATAACTGGAATGGAGCAGACAAAGAAAATCACCCACAGTGTAAAGATCTCAGCAGGA